AATTAAGTCAGACACAAATGTCTCATTAGCATTGCTGATGAACCACAGTCCCCTTCTTAACTAAAGATCCACCAGTCTTGGCACTTCTTCTCTTTAATGAAATTTGGATGAACTGTTTGGAATACAGAGCCGGTGTCTATGACTCAGTCTGTGCCTCCTTCCCATGGGGAGTGGGCAGATAACAGGGGAGATAAGAGACTGCTGCCCCTCGAGGGTGCTCCTCCTGCAGGATGAAAATTTCATCCTTTCCCCTTCACACCCCCAGAGTCTGCTGTGAGAAGATATCATTACCTCTTTGCTGCTTTCAGCCTGTCACTGTAAACACAGCTGACTTGGTCCTGCATCAGACCCAGATAAAATTTTTTTGCATCTGTAAACCGTGGTGAACTGCTAATGTTGCCACATTAGCAATCTGACACTGTAAAAATGTAGCTCTCATCAATATTGGGTGAAATAGACATTAACATTTTAATAAGATGTCATTATTTTTCTGGTGACGTTTCAGTACTGTACTTCAGTATCTGCAAAGAGGCCATATCGGCCTAGAAAATCGCAACTTTTCATTTTCCGTCGGTCTTAGTACACGATGTAACTACAGAAGAGTCTTAAGAGTTTTAAATAGGAAAAATATAGAAACTCTTTGGTCATTTTTGAGCGAGATGCTAACGGTCTAATCAGATTCAATGATCTATGCTAAGCTACAGCTAAAAGTGCTACCGTCAGACCCGGAGATCGGCTGAATGGATTCGAAACCGGTAAAACTCAACTGTTTAACTCTAGGGGAGTTGGAAAATTAGCGGAGTGTTCCTTTAAATGGCAATGCTGCTGAGGGAAGTACATATGCATCAGACTGATGAACTTAAGTGTAGCTCTTTATTAATATTCAAAGAGCATTGATTTTCTAAGTGTATGTCAGATATTACAGCTGCTCTGGCCCGTGTTGAAGGGTTTTCTGTTGAGGCACAGGAAATCTCTAGCAACCAATTTCTCCTCTGGGATTATTATAGATTATCCATCAATCCAGAAGTAATAAAGCAAGTGCTCTTTTCAGCTATCAGACTATCAGACTATCAAACACTCCAGCAAATAAGTAACATCATGTTGGGCCTGGAATTATTCAGAATTTAGGTGCATTTATGCAAGAGGAAGTCAGTGCAACCTGCAACGGCCATTCTAGAAGACAAAACACTTGATGAAGATAAGACGACTGGGAAATATTTTTGATATTTTTGCAATGATTTTACTGTCAATAAAATTAAGCAACATTGTAAGTGTAACAGTAATTTTAATGCATTTTTATTTGGCCATGCATGTAATGAGTCATTAATTTTACTTTCCCTCCTTGTCTCTGTAAACTGTAATAGTTTCTCTGTCGTCAAATGTTAAATAGCAAAAATGGCATTTGAGTTGGTTAGTTTGATTCATTTCTTTGATTCAGTTCAAATGAATCATTTCAATGAATCAATTCAAAATTCAATGATTCATTGTGTCTTTTTAGTTAAACATACTCTATTTGTACTGTATCATTGTTTTTAGCATCATTGAGATACTATTTGTTTTTGTGAATGTTTTGTATTCATTTTAAGTGTAGTTAAACCTTTAGTAATGTAGTTGTCTGTTTTATTAGTTTTTTACAATATGTATGTTATTTTTATTTCAGTCAGTGTTAGTTTTTTTTAGTACATCAAGTTAAACTGAATAAAAATGAGAAATGTTGCCTTGGCTACTAAATGGGAAAAAATATATTTTATTATTATATTATATGTATTATAGAACAACCTCCTCGACAGCAACCAATCTGGTTTCAGAAGTGGTGAGAGGTGAATATGTCATCATAACATCATAACAGTGATGTTTCCGATTTTTTTGTGGAAGTGACACGGACTGGTCCTTGTTTGTTACTGACGTTTGTTACTGACGACAAGAGACGGCAGTCTGTCAGAAATCTCGCCACAGAAAAAAAACTGCATGTCATGTGACTTAATCAAAGCACATCATTGGCTAAACTAAGGTCTTCTCTTTCCAACAAAAAAAACGAGAATGTTCTCTTAAAGAGACAGTGGCAAGGAAATGAACACAAAGAGTATGTTGCCATATGGCTACACCATGCGGTAGAGGGTTAATATTTAATTATATATAATATTTAATTATAATTTTATTATAATTAAACATTTGTCCTTCATTTAGTGAAAAACAGTCTGGAAAACCTTTATTATTTTTAGTTTTAGACTATTTTTAATTATTTAAGTATATTTTACATTATTTATATACCAGTCACATGCAACTCATGAATTCAGACCAGAGCAATGACTGAAGTGTGCAATGTGTTGAATCGCTGCATCCCTACTGTGCAGTTCCTGTGCAGTCATGTCCTGAGAGAAACGGCCTGACCTTTGCCCCTTCATTTAAACACGCTTGTCATCGTGGAGAGTCTAGCTGGCTGCTCGTATCATTTGTCTTTCAGCAGAAGCGACTGGGGTCTTTAGAAATGCAGGCTGCGTTCAGTCCGCACTTTGTTTTCCCAGCGTGCTCTTCCTGCAGGAATGTTCAGGAGAGCCTGCAGGTTGGGCATGCCAGAGACGCTTGGCTGGCGCAATTGTAGCATCCACTCAGAAGCAGAGTCTGTGTTTTCTTTGGGAAGGCAGAGACGGTGGGGGGCAGCCTGCTGTAATTACAGCTTGTGCTGAAGCAGAGAGGCTCGTGTGTGCCGAGCGTCACGCGCTGCAGTGTTTGTGTGTGCATGTCCCTAAATGCTCGCAGTTTAATGCAGTGTCGGTGACTCTGTCAGCTCAGCGGTTCTGTTCCAGACGCATGATTTCCCTAATAAGAGGCAGAAATGGCGCGCTCGGTGACGGAGAGATGTTTCCATCTGCTCAGCCTGCAGGAATGTGGAAGCGCACCTTCAACTCCCGATCAAACGGCGTTTGAGGGTGGAAGCTGTTTGCTGAGCGCCAGCGGCTCCAAACTTTCTGCTGTGGTGGCGGTGTAATTACTGCTGGTCTACGAGCGTCTCTGAGGTGTTTCCATGATTATTTTCTCTGTGGCAGAGGGGGTGTGTTGGATAGCAGATGTCTGCTTTGCGTGAGCATGATTAATTAGCCCGGGTCCGGCCAATTACATGATGAGTGCTTCTGGTTAATAAATGAATGCATCATCTTAATCATGAATGAGTGAGAGCATGCATGGGGTGGCTTCATTGGAAAGACGCACGAGAGCCCTCAGCAACGGGCTGTTAACACACACAGACCCCTAGACACATGCACTCAGCGTGAACCCGGCGCGACGCGTGTGTCCCCCAAAGGCCAGAGGTGTCTGTGATCGTTGAAACGCTCTCCAGGGACTCATTGTGGCTGGAGCTCATTTGCTTGTGTTTAAAACCACTTTATTAAATTAACACAGTGACATCATTCGTTGTGTACATGATGTCACTATGTTAAGGGAATAGATCAGCCCACAATGAAAATGTCTCGCTCTGTATGTTCCCCTGCTGACCAATAATGCCATAGAAAAATAAATCCTTAAAGGGGTCATATGATGTTGCTAAAAAGAACATTATTTTGTGTATTTGGTGTAATGAAATGTGTTTATGCGGTTTAAGGTTCAAAAACCACATTATTTTCCACATACTGTACATTATTGTTTCTCCTCTA